TCAATGGAGTTTTTACTTTCCTGGTAATCTCTTTGGCTCTATTTCATGTATTCTAGGTTATGTTTAAATTCTTCATCAGAGGTTCCTCTTTCTTTTCTGATTTCCTCCATTCTTCCATCTGTGTTCTCTTGGGAGGGGCTTATTAGCTTATTATTTATTTAATTAATCTCTTTATATCTTGCCTCACTTGGATCAGAAGTACAGTTTTAAATTTATCTATGAGATCATGAAAGTATTTCTTTTTTTTTTTTTTTTCATTTTTATTGGTAGCAGGGATCAAACTCACAACTACCTGCTTGCAAGGCAGGCACTTACGCTGCTGAGCTAAATCCCCAGCCCCATGAAGGTATTTCTTTATATAGGCCAATGCTGTGTCTAGTATTGGATAGTTACTATGCTGGTTCTCTTCTGTGTTTACTTCTGCTGGGCTTATTTTCCCAGGTTTGGCAGCTGGAGATTTTTTAAATTTCTATCTCTTGTCATGTTTCTGGTTTCTTTCAGACTGGCGTGTCCTAGGGGTCTCTGGCCCTCTCTATATTGCTTAGGGTCTTTCCAAAGTGTGCTAACTGGGGTTTTGCTGCCCTCTCCAATTTGCTGTTATCTGAGGTAGGCAGGGATGCAGGGACGGTGCAGGCTAGGCTCCAGCCTCTGTGCCAGTCAATCCGTAAGGCTATACCTTGTGGACGTCACAGAGTCTTGACAATTTTGTATCTGCTTATTGGGTCCCAACCAGAGGTGTGGCTCAGCCCCAGCAGACCCTGTCAGTTCTCTTTGCACCAGGGGCAGCTGACTGATGTCACCGTGGCACTGAGCTCTGCCCAACTCCAAGATGTCCAGTCCTCTCTGTGTCACTGATGCTGCCATGGTGCCAAGATCTGCCCAGTTCCAAGATACCCTCCAGCCAGCAATAGCAGCCGTGGGACCCAGTCCCTAGTACTCACTGGGACTCAATGCAGGTCTTCGTCTTGGGTTCACTGCACACTGTGCCATGTGTCTTCACTGCATTCCCAGCACATTGTGGATGGGTCAGAAAACCGCGGTGTCCAGCTTTGGAGCCCAGGAGCTTCACACAGTCTCCTCTGGCATGGCCAGGTGGCTTTGGCTGCTTTGCGGGGCCCCAGGTCTCAATTTCCAGCAGTTGCAGAGAGCCAATATATCTTTTTCCCTTGGATCCACTGTTCACTGTGCAGCGTTCTCCCATTAAGGGTCTGGGATTTGCCAACTCCCATTATCAGCAGCCAGGGTCTCAGCGCGACCTTAGATGTCCAGGTGGGCCTGGTACAGTGCAGAACGGGGCTCAGTGAGCATGCTGGGCTTCAGCTCTCCACCCGTGCTTTTCCTTCCTCTTCCTAGTTTTATTTTTTCCCTTTGGTTACTGCCTTAGTTAATAAGAATTGTTATCCATTCATCTGGCCCTTTCCATGTTGTCATATTCTAGCATCTGATCTGATTTCTCCGCAGAGACTCTGCACCCAGCCCCCCAGCAAGCCACCATTTTTTTCTCCCTGCCATTAGTTCTGTGAACAGGTTATATATGTCATTCTATCTTCTGCTTTTTCATTTACTCCAATCAATTTGTATTCTTCTTTGTATCATCTAGCAGATGGATTGGATTTTTTTACTATTTTTAAGAAATTCACTATTTTAAAGAAATCTTTCTTTTTATGATTGCTAATTGCAATGCTATTTTTCTGTCTTTGAAATTCTGTCCTCACATTGGCTCATTCTGCCAGTATATATACTTTCAGTGCAATTTGTAATCTCTCAAGTATCTGATTTAATCTGTTTCATGGATTTCATATCTTTCCTATGTTGGGCATTCATAGTTTCCACTATTTTCCTGTGCTCTTGTAATTTTTTTATCTGTATCTGTATCTGTTATAGCATGGCTTTCACTATCATCACCATCTCTACAGTTATCTGGGAAATTATTTCTAACTTGATTTTTTCTAGGTCCTCATTCATCTGCTTTGTTACTTGCGCTGTTATCACTTCCAAGTCCAGGTTGGTGGCTTTCAGATTGTTCCACCCCACTGTCCCCCGTGCTTGCCTTTGGTAAGCTGAAAGTCAGGGACTACATCTGGGTTAAGTCTCTTCTCATTTTGTGTTTTAGTTTAATTCCTGGGTGGAGGTCTGTAATTACCTGTAGTAACTTTTTGCTAGTTTTTAGAGCCCTTAGGAAATGACTCTTTTCAGAGAGGTCTTCCAGATGTAGCTGGCTTTTGGATTTTGAGTCTGTTGCAAGATCCTACATATTCATCTCACTGGAAAGAGAAGTTGCTGTTTACTTGGGCCCACCCTGGGTTCTTTGGCACTGGCCTATAGTGTTGTTTATTACCCTTAGACAATCTCAGTTTTGGTATACCAGGAAGAACAAGTGATTGGAGCAATTGTATCACTTTGGCTAAAGTGGTATAATCAGTAACAACAATAGCATCAAACAGTGTAGAAAATGACAAACTGAAGTAACTATTAATTTGTGGTTTATAGAAAAAACAAAAATGAACCAGAAAATTATATGCAGTAAATAAGCCTTGAATACAACAATTTTACCTTTTGGGGAGAAAAGTAACTAGTTAATAAATTAGTTTAGATAACAGGGATCAAACTCATGACCTCACGCTTGCCAGGCAGGCACTGTGTCACAGACCTACATCCCCATCCCTTGGGGAGAAAATTTAAAAGCAGTTAGGGAGAAAGAAATGGAGAAATCGAAGAAGAAAAGACTAGAAGAAAGGCTGGAGGACAAAGGAAGATCACACAAACTTCAGGAAATTGGTAAGGACACAAGGAAACGAAAAAGACCAAAGGAAAAACAAGCACAGAATGGAACAACAACAACAAACCAGAAACAGTGTTCACACTCATCTGAGAATAAGAACAAACAGTTTTTAAAAAACTAAAAAGAAGGGGCTGGGGATTTAACTCAGCGGCATAAGCGCCTGCCTTGCAAGCAGGCAGTCGTGAGTTTGATCCCCGGTACCAATAAAAAGGAAAAAGATAAAATATATATATATATATATATATAAAACTAAAAAGAAAAGAAAAAAATGTCCACTTCAAGGTGAGTCTGCGGTTACTGGTGGACAGTGTGGGCAGACAGGCTCTAGATCTGAGTCGATGTAGCTTTACGGTGGGCTGGTGTGTGATCCCAGGGAGCCTGCAGCTTTAGTTCCTATCGGGTTCTGACCTAGATCCCCAGGCTCCAAACGAGTGTATGGTGAAGGCTTAGGTAAAATGAGACAAGTGGTATGATTTTAGGGCTCCAGGAGGGTCAAAACCCTTTAGCTGAGCTCGAGACTCTGAGGACTAAGACAGACTTCCCTGGATCACTCACTTTATTAGTTCCAACAAGGGGAAATTGAGGAAAACGCAGGCAATGAGCAGGACCTTCAGAGTCACTTCAAGGACATCTCCAAGTAGTGAATCAAGTAAATTTAGTAGAACTGTCTTATGAAGACATGGTAGAAGTGAGACTGTAGGAGTCTCTGTCTACTTAATTGATGTTTGAGCCAAGTGTCCGCAGCTGTGCCCTTATCTTGCCCTTTGAGGTGTCTCTGGCCTCACAGGCCACTACCAGCCTCAGCCAGGACCAGTGATTCATAGAGGTTCACTTACTGTGAATCAGCTTCCATCTTACTGTGAATCAGCTTCCATCGCCAGGCAAGGGGCCGAGGCCTAGGACAGACCCACAGATAAACACAGAAAGCCAATTAGTCAATTTTAAATCCTGCTCAGAGCCACTTCAGAGTGGTCTCCCACAAGTTCCGCTGATGTTCAGGCTGGTTTCTGGCTATGAGACTAGAACCAGATCTGCTCAGCCCGCAGGGCTGTGTGGGCCTCCTTCCAGCTTTGGCTTGGCTCCCTGACCCTGTCACTGGGAGCCACAAGATGGCGACAGGCTGCAGCTGATCTGCGTTCTGAGTTCAGCTGGCCCCTCTCCAACGTGGCTGTTGGCAAATTGCTCCTCTTGGGGTGGTGTCTGAAACCCAGAATAACTCAGCAGCCATTGTAGTCCGCTGTAGCCATTGCTCTGTTACACTGGTTTGTTTCTCCATGGATGCCTCCGAGGTGACCAGGAATCACCGTGCACTGCGGATGCAAGCTGCCTCCACTGCCACCGTTCTCCAGCCGCTGGGAGAAAGTTCCCGCTGCCGCCTCCTTCTTCATCCAAGTCTCTGCTTCCCAGGCTGCGGTTCTTGTTTCAGGTCCTTCCTGAGTCCCGGGGAGCCGTTTCACTCCTTCTCCTCCTTACGTTCCTCACACTGTTCCAGTGTCACCACATCTTGGAGAGGCTCTTTCTTTGCTGCTCACCGCTCTGCCATATTCCTGGAAGTTCTAAACTTTAAATATAAACATTTACTGTTTTTGGATCACTCCATACTGGTCAAATGTTTATGGGAATTTCTGTGAAATAAAAATAGCGTGGTGTGTCCCTGTCTGCCTTATTCCCTAGATCTGGCACTGTGTGAGTTCCCGCTCTTCCTCACATTCAAAGTGACCAGGAAAGGGAAATGTTTTGCATTGATCCAGGACATCAAGGCAGTCACAACAGTGCAACTACAGACCCTCAGGAAAGAGCACTCCAGAGGGCTTCAGAAATTGGCGAGAAAGAAAAAATAAGTGTGTTCAAAGCACAGAGAGGGGATATTTTGAGGGAGATACATGGCAATGTGGCTTTTTCTTTTTGACACAGGGTCTTGCTTTAGGCTGGCCTTGGGCTCACTTTGTAGCCCAAGCTGGTCTCAAACTCACAAGGATCCTCCTGCCTCAGCCTCTGGAGTGCTGGGATTATAGGTGTTCACCACTGTGCCCGGCTGGCAATGTGTCCTTTACTATTATACTTTTTTTTTAAAAGTTTACTACTGACTGTATTTTTTGATCACACTGCATATGTGGGAGATTGAATTTTTACTGTGCTTGTCATATAAGGTTAAAAGAAATCTTCTACATACAACTTTCCTCTTCTTAAGTAAAAGAAATCATCTTTTTTTTTGCAGGTTTGGTGTGTAAGGCCCTGTGGAAATCCGAAATACCCTCGGTCACACCTCTCTAGCACCATGGTGCCCCCCGATGGTAAGCTTTTCCTGTCACACCTTGCCTTAATGTGTTTCTGCTCTCCTAGTACACCTGCGAAGACACTGACCAGGTCACCATGCTGCAGTGTGGTGTAGGCTGGAATGAAATGTCCGAGAAGCGCGCAGGCCCAGGGCGCCAGTGCAAAGTGCTGTGGGCGTTCAGAGCCGGGGCCTTGGATTGAAGCCTTTTCTTTGTAGAGTTCTTATTTTTTAAAAACTGCTTCCATTCCTGTTTTTGTTTTTCTTAACAGAGGTAACAGTTAGTTACAGACACGGCCTTCCCTTGATAACGCTCACTTTGCCATCCAGAAAAGAGCGCTTTCGATTTGTAGTGAAACCGATGTTGTCAACAGTGGGGTCCTTCCTTCAGGACCTGCAGCATGAAGACAAAGGCGTCAAGACCTCGGCCATCTTCACAGCAGGTACGTGTGTGTGCACGTGTGTGTGTGCATGTGTGCATGTGCGTGTGCTTTACAACTTGGTCCAGAGGCCACTGCGCCTGGACCTTTTGTTTATTCTTCTTTTCTAAAAAGAATTGCATCCTGTAATTCATTACTTACAAAGTGGCTGCCCTTCACTGACTCCTTCATGGTACATGTCAGCACAGGTACAGAACAGCAGCCCTGCTGAAGGAAGAAATCAGTTGGCCAGGTTTAATGAAAGTTTCGGGGACTTCATAGCTTTGCCTCGGAGTCGAGGTGCAGACAGGGCAAGGCTTGGTGTTTGCTGCTGGAAGGACTTTAGATGACACTAGTGGGGACTTCCTGCTGAAATGAGGGTCAGAGGACAAGCGTGTCGTGTCGGCCTGCAGCTGCCAGGGGCTTCACACACGTACTCATCATGACTCAGACAGCCGCCATCCAGGAGAAGCTACGCAGGCCCTGGACCAGTGCTCTGGGACCGGGCGTGGCTTCCTGGCTCCAGGAGCAGACAGAAGCACATCCTGAGCTCACCTGGGCTGCAGATGAGCTCTGCTTGCCTGTGGTCATGCTCAGTATTCACTGCATGGATGAAATGGGAGAGCTAAAAGCAAGGGTCAGTGTTTATTCTAACTTTTTAAAAAGCAGAGTAACTTTGAAAACAGATTGCACTGCCAGACATAGCAGTGCATGCCTGGAATCCCAGCACTTTGGGAGGTTGAGGCAGAAGGACTGCTCCAACTTTGAGGCCAGCCCGGGCTACATAGTGAGACCTTCGTTGTTTCAAAAATCAAAACAAACAAAAACAAAACTCAAAGAAACTATAGAAAATGATAAAGAAAGTTAGAGAAAAGTAGCCTTTTGGACTGATTGAAAATACTTCCTTGGTTTAAGTGAAGAATCCTTGCTGAAGAATCCATGAAAAGAATCCATGAAAAGTTCTGTCATTAGTTCCTTAACAGTGTCTTTGTAGCTTCAGGCCAATTTCTGCTGTTCATGCATTTGTATAAGGGGCAATTGGTGTCTCAGCTGAGGAACCGTATTCGGCCAGGTCCTTTGTATTATGACTTAGAAGCCGATCTGAAATCACTTCAGTGAATTTTTGAATGGTACTTAGAATGTCAGTGACGCAGATCGGAGGTGTGCTGATGTTTTTGTAAGTGACTCTGTGGGCAGAATTTTCCTTTGTGAATTTGGGCTTAAATACCATACCCTGAGCTTATCCCAGTGTTGCCCATCATGTGGGTTGACTTATTTGGCAATTCTGGGGAAAATGATCTCACCGCAGCTGGTAAACAGTAACCCAGACAGCCAGAGTCTAGGAAGAGAACAGGTGCAGACCTGTCTGGCTCCTTCTGCGACCGAGGAAGCACAGAACCAGGCAGGTGCCAGGCTTCCCCTAAAGCTCTTGGTTCACTGCCCACTGCTACTGCACCTGGCCAAGTCCCCAGCAGAGAGAAGACAGACCCTGGCACCTCCCTGGACTATGGTCCCCATGGTGTCAGGTGGACAGACTGAGCGGGAGAATGGCAGAGAGACCCAGGCCCATTTTCAGCTTGTTGTTTAGCCAGTTTGCTTTCTTATCATTGAATCTTGTTGAAGTTTCATTTATTTTGGGAGGGGGGGCATACTGGGGATCGAACTCATGACCTCACACCTGCCAGGCAGGCACTTGTGGCACTGAGATAAATCCCCAGCCCCTGAAGTTTCATATAAAAAAAAAAATAACAAAACTAGGCTACATGAGAAGCTACTAAGCAAAGCACACTAACATAAAAATTTTCCAAGAGACTTTTTTCTAAAACATACCCAGTGCTCAAGCCAAAATCTTGAGACTGAGGGGTCTCTAACGTGAAAGGGTGTACGGAGCAGCTGCAGACGCCAGTGATGAAAAGGAACAGGTTAGAACGGGTTTCTACAGCTACCACAGCAAGACCAGGTAGCAGTTTGGAAAACTCTGTTGGGCCTAGAGCTGAGAGTTGCTGTATACAGAAAATACGGCCCACTGGAAAGAAATTAGGAAAAACATCCCATTCACAACAGCATCAAGAGAAATTAAAACTTAGGAATTATCATAAGGAAGAAGAAGATCTCTGCAATGAAAACTACATAACACTGAAAAAGGAAATTGAAGAGGACATCAGAAAACGAAAGGATGACCTCTCTTCCTGAATAGGCAGCACCAATACAGTTAAAATGGCCGCACTTCCAATACTGATGTGGAGAGTTAATGTAATCCCAGTCAGAATATCACCAGTACTCTTCCCAGAACTGAGAAGACGACCCTAAAATTAATATGGAGCCAGAAGAGACCAGCAGAGCCAGAGCAATTCTGGCTATTACAGAGCTACTGGAGTTAAAATAGCACGGTCCTGGCACAAAAGCAGATATGTGAATGAGCGGAACAGAATAGAGGACACGGACACAGCCCCATGCACATCCAGCTGTCTGATCTTGGACAGGGGACTAAAATACACCCTGGAGGAAAGGTAGCCTCGTGCCTAAGTGGAGCTGAGGAAATTGGCTATGCACACGCAGAAGACGGAATCTAGACCCCCATCTCTGGCCACGCACTAAACTAAAATCAAAAGGCATAGAAGAACTAAATGTTAAAGCCATTTAATCTGCTGGAAGGTGAAATAGATAAAACTCTTGAAGTCATGAGCATAGGCAACGACATTCTGAACAGAACCCTAGTTGAACAGGAAATAGTTCTGAGACTCAACAGATGGGGTCATATCAAATCAAAAGGCTTCTTCACAGCAAAGGAAACAATCAACAGAGTAAAAAAAAGCCTATAGAATGGAAAAAGATTGTCAGCTATTCCTCAGACAAAGGGCTGATATCTAGAACTGCAAAAAATTAGACACCCTAAAGAGACCCAATCAAAAGTAGGCAAGTGAAATAGAAACGTCACAGACACACAAATGGCCTATAATCAGCATCACTGACCATTAGAGGAATGCAAATTAAAACAACACTGAGATTCCATCTTACCCCAGAAACCATGGCCATCATCAAGAAATTAAATAATAAGGCTGTGGGGGAAAAGGAAACCTGCTGCGTTTTTGCTGGGAAGGTGGAGTGGTACAGCCACTATGAATTCTTTAGATTCGTTAGATCCCTCAAAAACTTCAAGTCCCGTTTGAACCAGCTATTCCCTTTTGATGACCTCACAGTACTGTGATATCTGCACACCCATGTTTGTAGCACCACAAATTATTTAATATCTAACTCTTGGAAGCAACCTGCCCATCACCAGGCGAATGGGCATGGAGAATGTGGTATTGATACATAGTGGAGCACTGCTCCACCATAAAAAAGGATAAACATGGTCATTTGTAGGGAGATGGAGACATCTTGGGACCACAAATATTAAATGAAATAAGTCAGACGTGAGTTTCTCTTATATAAGAAACCCAAATAATAAATAATGAGCAAAAGATAAGAAGTAGGAAGACTGATCTATCTCAAGTGCAAAGGGGATCAAGAGATGAAGACTCTAATAGGAAAAAAAGATGTGGAAGGAGTGAAGTAAAGGGATGAAAAAGGAATGGAGACGTGTTCTGCACAAGCACCAACTCCCAAGGAGTGTAAACTGAAAACCTGCTAAGAATAATTAAAATTAGGGGGAGGAAAGTATACAATGAGTAAAATATATGGTGTTTCAAGTTTTAAAGACTTTGTTATGGTATAAGACACAGTGTTAGACTCCCCCTGCCCCGGTTGTAAGTAGAATACAACTTAACCCATCATTCTTGCCGCTTTCTGAAGCAGCTCTGGAGCTCCCTGTATTAGTCAGTGCTTCCTAGAGTCAGGTATAGAAGAGTGCAGATGTCTGTCTGCATGCATGCCGGAGACCTGAAGGATCCAGTGAGGGCTTGGAGCTGATGATGGTGTCCCATGCAAGGCCACATCCAGAGGCTGTGCGAAAGAGCTACATCCCTGGTCCTTTATCCTGTCTCCTGGAATTTTTTCCTCCTCGCACTTTTCTCAAGGTAGGAAGTAAAGGAGGCCAGTGTAGTGATAGTGATGTCAGCTAACACAAATCAGTTACCTCCCATGATTAAGAATAAGAAAAAGCCAGGCTTTTAAAAACATCCTCACTGGGGGCCTTCAGGGACCAGTCAGGTGCCGGGTTGTAAGCGGAAGAGTCGTTGCCAGGCTCTTAGGTGGGAAGTGGCTGGAAGCTGAGCTCAGAGGAAACAAGAGCAGGAAGAGGACCGGTGAGCATAGCAACCAATCCGCCCAGGGCCGCCTGCTGGTCCCAGTCCCAGTGGACGAGAACTTGGGGACCAAAGCACAAGTCAGTTTCAAGATGGCACAGCACACAGTGTATTGCGCACTTGTATAGCCCTGTGTCTTGGGTGGCAGAAAATCACAGATCCTGCAATTTAGGTCAGGAGGAGGCTTTTATAATGATCAGGACAAAAGTGGTTTGACCCAGGATGCCAGGCTCCATATATCGTCTGTCCTGCCTGTTCATAGGGTGCCAGGAGGTTACATGGGGAACATAGAGCAGTGGTCCTCTGGGCCAGTGGTCCTCATGGTGACACAGTCCAAGATGCTGCAGTATGGTCAAGCTGGGCCCCCCAGACCTGAGATTCCCTGACCCTGCTCTCAGGCGCTGCCATCTCCCTGCATCTGTGTGTGACCCCGCACATACAGTGTCACCAGGCACATTAATCTGGCTTCCAGTCCAGCGGCTGGTGAGGCCACTGGACCCCTGCCATCCTGCTGGTCCAGTGGGATGGCAGGTAGGGCAGCCAGGGAGGATGCCCTTGGTGATGATGGGCTTGAGCTTGAGCAGGTGTCCCCAAAGCGAGTGTCCACTCCTAGACTGTGAACCCCGGAGGGATATCCTGTGTGTTGAAAATGCTTCTTACTGTTGTAAAGGTTTCCCATCCTGTTTTGTCTTTCAGACGGCAGTGAGATTCCAGCTTCAACCATGATGGACGTTTTGCTAATGAAGGATTTTAAACTTGTCATTAATGAAATAGCCTATGTCGTACAGTGTCCCACAACAGGTAAGATACCCAGCTGCTGTCCTTCTCTGCAGGGAGCTTTTCTGGGGAGCAAAGGGGGCCTGCTTGGGACTGCGTTCACAAAGGCATCTTCCGCCCCTTCTTCCTCTTCTCCTTCCTCTTCTTCTCGCTCCTCCTCCTCCTTCCTCTTCTCTCCTCTCCCGTCTGTGCTGCACAGCAGATGCATCCAGCACGGAGCACGGCTCCATTCTTTCCCGTCCCCTCCCCTGTGCCCTCCCTGCACCTCTTAGTCACTGTCCGTTTGCCAAAGATCAGTCGACCTGTTTTCTGTCGTCTGTCTTTCATTTTGCTCGTTGACTTTTTGTACTTCGGGTGCTCTCAAACAGCAGCCTTTCCCCCACAGGATGCAGGGAAATTTCCCTGAGTTTTGATCAGAAGCTGGTAGTTTCCATGGGTAAAACTCCCAGGAGTTGGGGCCTGGCCCCAAGCCTGGCATGTAAGTCCCCAGGAATCGCAGTTCTGGTCCAGTGCTGGACCCTGGTACCCAGTCTGTGACTCTCCATACCTTTCTCTTCAGTGTTGGGGATAGTGGTTTGCCCAGTGGCTGCACTTCTACAGATGTAAACTGTTTTTGGTTTGTTGAGTTATTTATTTACTGTTAGGATGGAGTGAGGGCTTTCAAGCTCCTTACATGCCAAGTTAGATATTAGAAGTCATAACTTTTTAAAAAGAGGTTTCCTTTTGACCTCAAACTATAAGTTGAACATCTCTAGTTTGGAAATCTGGACTCAAACATGTTCTAAAATCCAGCTTTTAGAGGGCTGATATTAAAACAGTGGAAATGCCACATGGCTCTCCCATGATGGCTTGCAGCCAAAATGCAGGTGGACAAAAATACTATGTAGGAGCTGGGGTGGAGCTCAGTGTTAGAGCACTTTCCTGGCCTGTTGAGGTTCAGGGTTTGATATCTCGTCATGTGTGTGCAAATATTCCAAAATCCAAAATTTGAAACACTATTCCCAAGCATTTTGGGTTTGTTTGTTTGTTTTATTTTTATTTTTTAAATTTTTATTTAAAGAAAGACTAAAAAGAACAGAAAATGGGTAGAAATAATACATATGTTCAAAGAAAAAATAAACAGTAAGAAATCACCAATTGATGTTTACATACTGTCCCCTTACAAATAGTTGTTCAAGATACAAAAGTGGAACATATAAAGTGGGAATTCAAACATCAAGACAGCAAACAGTTCTGTTCAACTATCCAACAAAAACTTAGTAACATGATTGTCAATCCTATACACTTAAACATATATGCAGTTATCCATATCTTCATTTATGTTGAGATTAAACAGACTAAAGCAAGCTAAAATCATTCTGAATGAAGAATAATAGTATTGCTGGATTTCACATCATGACACTCCAGGATCAGCACTGGGTACTTTAGTATCTATTTTGTTTTAAATTTTATCTAAAGAAAGACTAAACAAAACATAAAACAGGTAGAAATCATACATACTTTCAAAGAAAAAAATAAACAGTAAGAAATCACTAGTTGATGATTACAGATTGGCCTCTTACAAATAGTCATTCAAGATACTAAAGTGGAGCATATTAAGTAGGGATTAAAACAGTGAGATTGCAATCAGTTCTGTTCAATTATCCAACAAAAACTTAGAAATATGGTTATCCTATACATTGAAACATATATGCAGTTATCCATCTCTTCAATTATGTTGAGATTGAATAAACCCAATATCACTCTGAACAAAGAGTAATACGATTGCTGGGTTTCACATTATGACACTCCAGGATTAGCACTGGGCACTTTAGTGTCTCGTTTTCTTCAAAGTATCTGTTCATTTCATCATGTGTCATAAGATCAGTTCTCATAAACTGTTTATAGATTCTACACATGCATGAGTCTTAACAGGTATTTCTATCCTTTCTATATTATAAGGAGAAACAAAACAAAGCAAGACAAAACAAAACATATTCCTATAAACACATGAAATGAAAAAGACATGTAAGTCCCATTGTACAAGGAGTTGTACCATAGTTCCTGTGTTGTCTCTTGTTATCTTCAATAGAATTGGTTATATCATCAGACATAGTATAATTGAATATATCAGTACATAACAGTATTAATAAAAGCACAACTTTGTATATAGTATAAAATTTCAAAAACCAGCAGTTATCAAACCAGAATGTGTATCATAGAGTCTTGTTGTCTTCAGTGTAGTTGCCTATAATCTCAGACTTGATACTACCAATCATATCAGTTTTAAATAAAATCTGTCATTACCAAACAGCATTCAAACAAACCAGATTTAACTAAGATCAGTCATGATAAAAGAGTGTAAGTCATACAGGGCTCCAGATTAAGTTAATAGGAAATTAAAGATGATTACTGTGCTATATCCTGATGTTTTTGGGGTAACTGTCTGTGCCCTCAAATCTAATGCAAATAGACAAACTGGGACAGAATAAAATCTATCTAAGCAGAGTAGTGGGAGTAATGTGGGTTTTAAATCCTGATACACTATTAAAAATATCTTCTGCTATCTTTTTTAATATTCTCCCTCCCCTTTCACTTCCCCAAGGCACACTGTGCATTTCTGCCTCTCACCAGGACCTTTGGTTTCAAGTTGGGGGTGGGGGCAACCTGCTATTTACCTAAGTGGTTCCGAATCTTCTCTCTCCTGGACTTGATCTCTAATTGTATTCCTTTACTTATTAAAGCCTGTCTTTCCAACCTATCCACAAATACTAGTCTAGTTGCCCCTATTACTCTCTGGTTCTCTGTGACATAGAGCATTGTTTTCTCATATTTGATTTTCAGTCCACATACTCTTTTTCATGTTAATATATTTCTTATAAAGAGCATCTCAGTGGACCCTGACTCCTGATGTACCTCATGTGTGGTTCTTTTTTTTTAATTTAGTGTATCAAGGCCATGTATATTAGAGATTTATAACCAACCTTCTCTGCCTCACTTCTGTTATGCTCTTTTTTGCCATCAGTTGTCTGCTTATCTTCTTCATTCTTCTTTCTGCTCCATTTATTGCACTGCAGTATTCTCTGTAGAGTTGGATTGGTGGTTGCAAATTTCCCAAGTTCCTCTTTGTCTTGGAAGCATCTTGTTTCTCTATTAATTTCTAGAGACAGTTTAGCAGGGTGTATCAATGTGGGCTGGAGGTTATTTTCTTTCAGGGCTTGGAATATTTCAGTACAGGCTTTTCTTGACTTGATGGTTTGTGTCGAGAAGTCTGCCGTGATTCTGATGGGTCTTCCTTTATAGGTGATCTCTTTCTTGTCTCTAACAGCTTTTAATATTCTGTTCTTATATTGAATTTCTGGGATCTTGATTATTATATTCCTGGGTATAGCTCTGTTTTGGTTGTAGGTGGCTGGAGTTCTGTATGTCTCATACATCTGCATATCATTTCCTTTTCCTATGTTTGGGAAGTTTTCCTTAATTATTTCTGTGAATAGCCTTTGTAGTTCCTTTGTTTGTACCCTGCTTCTTCATTCACATTCTTTATTCTCAAGTTATAGATCCTCTTGTCGTCTTCTAGCCTTTGTATTGTTACTGCTTGTTTCCTTGTTATTTTCAAAAACTTTTCCCTTTCATAATCCCACATTGCAAAACTGTCCTCTAGTTTGGATAATCTATCCTTAGTTTCTTTCAAGCAGATTTGCCATCTTTCCATAGAGTTTTAAATTTTCTGGTAATCTCTTTTATGTATTCTATATTTTCTTTTATTCTCTATCAAATGGTTCTCTCCTTGAGTTCTTCTCTTCCATGTGTGTCTGCTTGAGGAGTGCTTAGCACCTCTCTTATTAATCTTTTTATATCTTGCTTATATCTTGGCTAAATATTTCACTTTTGAACTAGTCTATGAGGTCCCAAAGATATCTCTTTATGTCCACTGGTGCCGTGTCTGATACTGCATGTTTGCTGTTCTCATTCTCCTTTGTATTTACCTGTCCTTGGTCAATGTTCTAAGGGTTGGGACCTGGGGGCTTTTTCTTGTTGCTTCCTCTTCCCATCTTCTTTGTTTCTTCCAGGAGGCCCCAGTTTCTTTCTTTGTTGGTTACAATTCTTCTGAAGCACGCTGGCTAGGTGACCCTTCCCACTGCAGTGTGAGTTACAAACAGGGGCAGCGTATGTTGGCCCCTCCCATCTGAATCAGTGAAGCTGCTGAGGCCTGCACTGTATTACTGTGCGCTTCCTCCCCTATAGGTTTATTAAACTTCTGAGGCCTTCACTGCGTTAGTGTGCACCACCACTGTAGGTAATTGATTTTGGATAACCTGTTGGGTCTCAGCCAGGTCGCATGACCCAGGCCAAGATCATTCCACCAGTCCCATTCAGGAAGGGAACAACTGACTGAAGTCACTGCTGCCCCTTGCAGTTGCCAGTCCTGCCCAGTCTCAGAATGTCGTCCACCAGAGCCCCGCTTTCTGTGGAATGGCTCCACCCCTGTCACTCACCACAAGTTGATGCAGGCTCCCCACCAGCTCAGCTCTCCATTTGGCTGGCTGACCCCCAACCTCAATGTGACTGTGCCTCCAATGAGTCAAAGCAGCAGGACCTTGGATAGCTCAGCAAGTTGCCCACTGTGGCAGGAGCACTGAACCTTTAACTGTTCCAATGATAGCACCGGGACTGTATGTTTGATTGGTTCTTCTCACCTTAGTTTCTTCTTGGGATGAGAGAATTCATCTCCCTCTGTTTGGGACTCCCTGTGCTGTATTATGTTGAATTCTAAGTTGACTATCTCAGGGAGCCTCTGTAGCCAGCTTTTATCTATCCACCATCTTTGCTCAAATCCCTCCTGTTTGTTTGTTTTGAGACAGGATCTCACTATATAGTCCAGGCTGGTCTTAAAACTCTGTGTAGCCCAAACTGGCCTCAAAATCACTGTGATCTTTCTGCCTCAGCCTCCTGAGTATAGGACTTACAGGTGTGTGTCACTGCATCTGGCTTCCTCCCAAGCATTTTAAGTAAGAGACACTCAACCTGAATCATTTTAGTGA